TAAAATAAAGGAATGTTGGTAGTTTATTAGTAAAGTAAAGGAATGTTGGTAGTTTATTAGTAAAGTAAAGGAATGTTGGTAGTTTATTAGTAAAGTAAAGGACACTTTCTAAGCCTTCAGGCGTACTGGACCACATTCCTGGACATAAAAATCGGCATCTGGTGAGTGATGTGGTCAGCATCACGCTTGCCGCCTTTACTTCCCAGGACTTCACCTAGTACACATTCAAGGATGAGTCCACATGGGAGCCAAGGTTATTAAAAATAAAAGTCAGGCACCGTCAGGACTCGACCCACGACCCTCCGATCTGCTGGCGAGTGTCTAGCCACTGCGCATAAGTGGCTCTCAAGTTTATTAGTACCGTAACTATTTGAACCGTTCTCCATGTTTCAAGTCCGCATACAGCCTGATTGACTCGACACTACAACCAAATATTCTTTTTGGCACTAGTTTTAATATTTTTTCGGTCACTTCCACTCATTTTCTAATGCTGCGAAAAACTCTTCTTGAAAGTCGTTTTCATATGCTTTTATCTCCCCGTGTGGGTTCCGGAGCCACATTGTGGGGAAAACAAGAATACTGCCTCCTCAAAAAGCATGTCGTAAGAGTAGACTAACTGGGAGCTTCCTTCGAAGTCGGCGTGCATCTGCCTGAGAAGCTTCTTCTTCTTCTTTCGTTCGCATGAAATAAATTCCTAATTCCGATAATGTAACCGCGTAGGAGCCACGCTCCCATTATAAACATGGGAGTCCACGGGTAAGACCCCAGTCTACTCTAGCATAACAAGGTGCTGAAGTCGGAGGCAACCAGCCAGGAGGCGCACCACAGCAATCAGGATGCCACGCACAAACGCAACAGGGAATATTTCTATATCTGCCTGAGAAGCAAGGAACCAACAATTTGAATACAAATCAGTTAGGTCAGTTAATATGGATCTGCAAGCAACACTCAGGCCTTGGAACCAGACTAAAATCCAGAGGTAGACAAACAAGCAGAATTTTCCGTTGTAGTTGCAGCCGGTGAATACAGAAAAGATATTTTTTTATCTCTATCTAAACACCCCCCCCCTTTCTACGCTCCATCCACCCAAAACGCTTATCAACATGACTGCCTGGATAAATACAGACGTCTCCGCATCTTGGAGTGGCATTACACGAGCCAGAATGGATAACGGCCGCAATTGCGACTCCAAACTATTTGTATGTGACCCTGCGACAGGACTCCTATGCTTATGGGTAAGGTTTCGGCGCAGGCACTTCTTGTATTGTACGGAAAAAGATTTTAAAAAGAATGTGTGTGTATATATATATATATATATATATATATATATATATATATATATATATATATATATATATATATATATATATGTATATATTGTATATATATATATATATATGTCTACAATACTATCCACTAAATCGTGCATTAATTGTGTCTAACTATTCAAACAAGCGATTTTTATCCGGAGATAGGGCCCTGACTTTCTTCAGTAATGCCCCAGCTTAGTTTCTAACTCTGGTATAATCCTTGCATCATAAACCACCCCGTCTTGTTAACTGAGCGTTGATCAAGGTTTCTTAAGACTCGTTCATTATGTCCGTGGTTTCTGCCACTGATTCTTTATCACAGTCACTGGCAGGGAATTTGTGGCCTTGATTTGGCGTACCCTCGTGGTATCAAGTTAATTATTACGTCTCTCTGCTCCATAATCCTGGCCTTTTCGGCTGCTTCGACGCCCTGGCGGGAAACCCAGTCTGAAAATGCGTTTTCATGTCTAGTTGTGGTCAAACGGTCAGAAGGTCAAATATGTGGGTTGAATGCACTTCTTAATTCATGTATGTTGGTAAAGGACACTTTCCAAGCCTTCGGGTGTATTGGGCACATAGGGCTTGACCTATATTTTGTAGAACAATCGGCACTTGGTGAGTTATGTGGTCAGCATCACGCTGGCCGCCTTTACTTCCCAGGACTCCACCTGATACCCACTGAAGGCTGAGTCGACTGGCAGCCATGGTCATTAAAAAAAAAAAAACAGTCTGGTACCGTCAGAACCTGAACCTGGTGTACAGAACATGAAACAGCTTTTTCTTCTTTACGTTCACCGGCTATAAACTCCAGTGGAACATTTTACGTGTTCGTCCACCTCTGGACTTTAGTCTTGTTCCAAAACCTGAGTGTTGTATGCACATTCGTTTTACACATCTGGGTAATTAGTGTGTAGACTCTTGGTTCCTTGCCTCTCTGGCAGACGTACTCCGACTTTGAAAGATGCCAACAATTAGTGGACTCCCCCCACACGCTTCTTGGGGGAGACAGTGGGTCTTTTCTTGTTTCCCCCACAATGGGGCCCAGGAACCCACAAGGGGAAATGTAAGTTGACCAGAATAATACGATGTACAAAATGTGGGCTGACTAGAATGTACAGAATATGAAATATATGAGTTGATTAGAATAACAATTAGAATAAAATATGAAATATGTGGGTGAGTAGAACCATAGGGTGTACAGAACATGAAATATGTGGGTTGACCAGAATAATACCATGTACAAAATATGAAATATGTGGGCCAACTAGAATTATATGGTGTACAGAATAGGAAAAATGTGGGTTGACTAGAACTATATGGTGTGCGGAATATGAAATATGTGGGCTGGCTAGAACTAATGGGTGTACAGAATATGAAATATGTGGGTTGACTAGAACTATATGGTGTGCGGAATATGAAATATGTGGGCTGGCTAGAACTAATGGGTGTACAGAATATGAAATATGTGGGTTGACTAGAACTATACGGTGTCTGGAATATGAAATATGTGGATTGGCTAGAACTACAGGATGTATAGAAAATGAAATACGTGGGTTGATGAGAACTTTATGGTGTCAGAATATGAAATATGTGGGTTGATGAGAACTTTATGGTGTCAGAATATGAAATATGTGGGTTGATGAGAACTTTATGGTGTCAGAATATGAAATATGTGGGTTGATGAGAACTTTATGGTGTCAGAATATGAAATATGTGGGTTGATGAGAACTTTATGGTGTCAGAATATGAAATATGTGGGTTGATGAGAACTTTATGGTGTCAGAATATGAAATATGTGGGTTGATGAGAACTTTATGGTGTCAGAATATGAAATATGTGGGTTGATGAGAACTTTATGGTGTCAGAATATGAAATATGTGGGTTGATGAGAACTTTATGGTGTCAGAATATGAAATATGTGGGTTGATGAGAACTTTATGGTGTCAGAATATGAAATATGTGGGTTGATGAGAACTTTATGGTGTCAGAATATGAAATATGTGGGTTGATGAGAACTTTATGGTGTCAGAATATGAAATACGTGGGTTGATGAGAACTTTATGGTGTCAGAATATGAAATACGTGGGTTGATGAGAACTTTATGGTGTCAGAATATGAAATACGTGGGTTGATGAGAACTTTATGGTGTCAGCATATGAAATATGTGGGTTGATGAGAACTTTATGGTGTCAGAATATGAAATAAGTGGGTTGATGAGAACTTTATGGTGTCAGAAAATGAAATAAGTGGGTTGATGAGAACTTTATGGTGTCAGAATATGAAATACGTGGGTTGATGAGAACTTTATGGTGTCAGAATATGAAATATGTGGGTTGATGAGAACTTTATGGTGTCAGAATATGAAATATGTGGGTTGATGAGAACTTTATGGTGTCAGAATATGAAATAAGTGGGTTGATGAGAACTTTATGGTGTCAGAATATGAAATATGTGGGTTGACCATGGAAGAATAGCCAGAACGTTTCTCCAAAGCTTACAGCTCATTCACGATAAGGAGAAGAATCATCCAGCCAATGAGGTCAACATTTCCTGTGCACACTGCCCAAGACAATTCTGTTGGAAGACCGGCTATGATAGCAAAGGCTATGATATGGCTAGAGCAGTCGGTATGAACTATGCAGGTTTGGATGCTAATTCCCTAACCTTTTACAGGATCTGAACCCGGGTCTCCTGCTTGACAGCCCAGCATTCTAGCTGCTCAGCTATTTATTCTGCTCTATCACTAACAGATGGCAGGACAGGTCTTCATCACTTGTGATGGATCAATAAAAACAAAAAACAAATTTGTATGCTGTCTAATGTAACACATGATTTCTTATAATTTCTCTTCACTTTTGTGAACATCTCACAAAACCACCAAAAGTCTGATAGCTCTATAAATCAGAGATAAATATTCTTTCTCAGGTGATATCCAAAACTGAGACAATAATTGCATATTATGTCTGGGCACAAGGGTGACAGGGGGCACAAGGGTGACAGGAAGCACCACCGTGCTGTAGGGGCTAGACGCTCACCTGGGGATCTGAAGGTCATGGGTTAAAATCCAAAAGGGTGCCGGATTTTTCTAAAAAAAATGGCCTTGACTCCCAGGTTGACCTGGCCTTAAATGGACTCCAGGTAAAGTCCTGGGAAGTAAAGGCAGCCTAAGTAATGCTGATCACATCACCCACTGAGAGTCGACTGGTCTATAAAATACACATCTAGCACTAAATGCCTAGTGCACCTGAAGGTGTGGAAATATGTCCTTTACTTAACTTTACAAGGATGATACCAACTCAAACAGCTTTTCTTTTTGTGCAGATTAAGTGAGAATGATCTTGCATCTGCCAAGAAGGCATTATTAATCCAGGGGTTGCCTTTATGAGGCTCATAGACATTTTCTCTCTCCGTTTTCTTGAGCATACAGAAAGAATGAGAGTCGCTAATGAATATCCTATAAGTGAAAATTTAAACGACTCTTGTTTTAAACCACAGAATCAGTCTTGACTTAGTATGGTCTCCTCCTTCTGAACTATATTCCTCCCAAAGAAGCCAAGGCCCTTAACCAACTCAAGTCACATTATCTTATTCTTTAGAATCACGCACAGCTCAAGTCTTCCCAAACTTTTTCATCTCACAGTCTAATTATCTTCTTACTCTAAAGTAGTAAAAAAACAATTTATAACTTACCTTTTCTGGTCTTTTTCAGCTATAATTTGGCCAAGTTTTCTGGCCGTTTCCACAGCAGCTACTTTGTCTGATTCTGACTGTTTCAACCTTTGACATCAGGTGCATGATCACACATCATAAATGGGTCAGCACAAACCACGGATGGTTCGTGGGTAGATAAGCAGACAAGACAAACAAAAATAAAACACAGGTAATAAAAAGTAAATATAAAAAGCAGCAAATAATTAAAATTGTACACATTAAAACAACAGTATACTTCACCAGCTCTGTTCCCTACAACGATTGTTCCCAACAAGTAAAGACCTGGGAACCTCTCTTTCAAAGGTCTGTTATTGTCTCCATACAATTTAATAGCCACACCAAAAAGTTTATTATAAATATTAGGATCTCAAAAAGGACTGCATTCTAAATTTGAGGGTGTTTTGTGAAAAAACATCTAAAATGTCTTTCACAGACCACTAAACTGGAAACACCAGAATGCCAATTGGCCAGCCCATATCTTCCTAATGCCTGCAGAGAGCATGCCTGCATCATTTTCAGTATTTCTGGGTGCTTATCTATATGGGCAAAGCTCACAGCATATTTGATTCTTGTATACAGGCGTTACAAATGCACTTTGTATGCAGGGGTACCCGAATCCATCCCAGCTGCGGACTGTCTGTCTTGCGTTGGTTTTGACAGTAGTACTGAAAGCTAATCATTCAGAAAGCAATGGCAAACTACTGAAGGTAAACTTTGCCTAGAAAAACCACAACAGCCAAAAAAATGCTGGGATTGGTTCTGCAATGTCCTGTAAAGAATATGCAACTGAACTAAAAAACAAATACACACAGATCAATCTTTGCCATGACAACAGAGTTTATGTACTATTGTACAGTCTCAGGAAGTGAAAGAAACTGAAGCATATATGAAGTCATCTGCAGTGAAAAGGAGCACTGATCCAAACCAATTTGATCTGGAGAGAAAATCCATGTTCAACCACAGAATGAGCTCTGGATTACAGTGTCATTAAACAAATGTATTAGAAAAAAAAAATGTATATTCCACTGGTGATTAAGGTCAGAATTACTGTGTTATTAGGCCAGTACTGAACTCTGATTCTACAACCAGGATGTAGATAAGTGGGGACTGATGGAGACATTAAAATACCATGATAAGATGCAAGAGGGGCTTTCACTGCACTTGGAAAATGTGGAAATCGGAGAAAATCCAAACTAGTAAAAGTTAAAATATGTAGTTCTAATGTCAAATCAGTGTCGCTGTATGGAGCCGCAACACTGAGAAGAACTAAAACAATCACTAAAAAACTACCAACAATTGTTAACTGATGCCTGGGAAAACATGGAATTAAATAGTTTGATAGAATTACCAGTTTGGAGCTTTGAGAGAGAACTAAACAAATTGCAGTGAATCAAGAGGTAAAGAAAAGACAGTGACACTGGATAGGATACACGCTAAGAAAACCAGAAAACAACGTAATTACAATTTCTTTACACAGTGGAACCCACAGGAAAGGACCAAAAAAAAAAAAAATGAACACACACATACACACACAAGGAGAAGGAAGCAAGAGAGTGAAGTTAAAAAGATGAAAAGGACACAGATTGAGCTGCATACAATGGGAAAGGCAACTTGGTATGAGTTAGCTGAGGGCCTGTACTCCATTGTGGATAAAGGTTAGAAGAAGAAGAACAAATGGTGTAGAATGAGTTGATGAAATAATAATAGAAAAAAGGGGGCAGAGGAACTTTTGAAAATTGTAACAAGTACAGAGTAACCAATGTACATATTCTTCTGCAGCATTCTATCCCCCAGCAGAGCACAGGCCCTCAACCAACTCATGCCAAGTAGTTCTATCCTTTGGTATTGTATGCAGCTTACCCCATGTCCTCCCCATCTTCTTCAACTTCAGTAGCTCCCTTTTCCATGTATTTTTTAGTCTGCCTTTATTTGTATGGCCCTGTGGGTTCCAGTGCAAAGATACTCTGGTTATATTGTTCTCAGTTTTTCTCAACGTGTGTTCTATATAATGGCAGCATTTACCCTTCACCTCTTGGTCCATTGGAACTTGTATAGTTCTCTCCCAATGCTCAGTATTTGTGATTCTATCATACCATTTAATTCCCTCTATTCTGCATAGACACAGTTAATGAATGTTTGTAGTCCACAGCTCTTGGCTAGCTGGAATTTAATTGCTTACATTCTGTTACAATCAAGATAGATTTTTTTAATTTTAAGTATCCAGAAAACTAGAGTTGTTAACCCTTTGGCTCCGTATTATGGATATAGCAACCCTTCGGCCTTGATTCCATGATAGATACTGTAAATATGGGAGAAATGTGGCTTTTTTGCCTACCCCCCGGGCGTGAACCCGGACCACAAGGAGTCTATCACCCTGTTGCCGCGCAGTCAGGTTTAACCAACTGAGCTAGCGAACCGGGCAGACAGATTTTTAAAATGGATGTACAAACAAAACTTAAGTTCTTGAACAAGACTAAAGTCCAGAAGTAAAGAACAACCAAATCTTTCCACTGGAGTTTACAGCCAGTGAATGTGAAGAAGAAGAAGAAGAAGAAGAAGACATGTCTTCATAACTCACCTGAACTCCATCTCCTTCAGGGCACTGACCAGCTGGTTGGTCTTCTCCTCCAGCTTGGCCACCATCTCTGTTTTGTGCTTCACCGTGCTCTCACATGCCTGTGGAAAGGACAAATACAAATGTAATTCACTCTTTTAATCTCTGAAGTTTTCATAGTAGTTGCTTAAGGAGATAAAGAATCGCAATAAGAAGTCAAGAACATATTACCGTCATCACCAAAGCTGCTTCTACCACAGCCACAACCACCATCATCACTATCCTCTTCTTCTCTCCTTAATCCTCTTGTTTCTTCTTTTTCTTCTTCTACTTTCCTTCCTTCTTCTTTTTCTGCCCTTCATCCCCCAGTGGAGTAAATGTCCCTATCCAGTATGTGCAGCTGTCATATCCTTTGCCATCACATACAGCTGACACCAAGCCAACCCCATTTTTTTCAACTGATTTTTAAATTTCTTTCTTCAATGTTTTTATTGTTGTTGATGTGTGTGACTATATTCTTCTGACCTTGTGGGTGTCAGTGCAAAGACACTCTAGTTATAATATTATGTTTTCTCAATGTGTGTTCTACCCAATGCCAGCATCTTTACCTCACCTATCGATTCACTGGAATCTACTTACTTTCCAGTCAGGAATCTTGATAAGGAAAAAACCAGATATGCTACCTGAAGCAGATGCATACGATCCCCAAAAAAGGTTAGTGGATGTGCTGCTTGGAAGTAGATGGATACTGATGTGCTATGAGTAAGCGTGCAGTAGTACTACCTTGGAGAAAATATACTATTAACGTTGATGTAGATGGGTGTGCTAACAAGAAACTTTGTGGTAGTAATACTAATGTGGAGGTAGACAGGTTGCTACTAGGAAAATATGCAGTGGTACTACAACTGTGGAAGTAAAGAGACCTGCTATGCTATCAAGAAAATATGTGGTAGTACTAAAACCATGAAAGTAAAGAGATCTGCTACCAAGAAAATATGCGATAATACTACAACTCTGGAAGTAAAGAGATCTGCTACCAAAAAAATATGTGGTGGTACTACTATTGTCAAGGAACAGAGATCTGCTACCAAGAAAATATGCGACAGGCATCAAAAACTGAATGCACTGAACTATGACTAAGAAAAAAGTGGGGGGGGGGGGGGGGGTGGTAATTTCATAGAAATATTTATCAACAAGCACTGCAACAACAAGAGACAGAATCCTGGATTCCAGTGCCCACAAGGAGAAATACAGTAAATGACCTTTTTGCACGCCCTTTGGCATACTGGGTATATACTGCTAACCTATATTTTATATAATCATCGGCAATAGATGGGCGATGTAGTCACCCACCGGCCGCCTTTACTTTTGAGATCTTTACCTAGTACCCATTTTAGGCTGAGTCAACCTGGCAGCCAAAATCATTTAAAGAAAATGAATCTGCCTTGATGGGGACCTGAACCAATACCCTTCAGGCCCGCAGGCAAGCGCCTAATTTTCAGATTTCCAATACAACTAGTGCCGGCAGCAGTTGGATTAGCCTATACGTCCGTCTTTCCTTTCCTCTGAGCGTCGAGTATCGGCCAGATTCCCTCGTCACTCCTCGCTGCCTCACTCTCACCAGACTGTGGCGATCCATTTGCTCCTCTGAACTGTACATGTGCTTTCATTGACCACGTCTGTCTTATCATACATCAGCAGTTCGAGCCCGGCTCTCTAGCGTAGTTGGCTAAACCGGATTGCGCGGTGACCGGGTGACGAACTCCTTGTGGTCCGGGTTCACTCCTGGGGGTAGGCAGAAAAGCCACATTTTCTCCCAGATTTACGGTATTTACAATGGAATTAAGGCCGAAAGGTTGCGACATCCATTATACCGAGCCTAAGGGTTAACAACTCATGGCTTCTGGATACTAAACAAACAAACAATCAGCAGGTTATCAAGTTGTGCAGAGCCAGCCAGAATGTCTGCCTGTTCATTTCCCAACAAATCCGTTATACTCGAAGAAAAGATCCAGACAATGCTCCTTCCCCGTGATCTCCGAAGCGAAGCACGCCACTCTGCACAAGGCATGATTGCCTTCACCTTCTTCAGCATGCTTTCTGAGTCCGTTACAATCACGATGAGTGTGTGCGCGCGCGTCCGTGTGTGCGTGTGCGGTATTCTCTATATACCTCCTCCTCTTCCCTCCAACTCTAAAAAGAAAAAAAAGATTTAAAAAAGGAGCTGGATGAATAAACTGCCTTGGTTTTGTTTTGTAAAAGTGTTAAATATTTTATTTATAGGTAAGCTGCGCATCCTTTACAGGACGTTGCAGAACCAACCTCAACAGCCCCTTGCTATTGTGGGTTTTTCTAGGCATTCACGTCCAGTAGTTTGCCATTGCTTTCATTTTATTTATAATTAAACTAAAAAAAAGTCAATATAACAGATTATTACAAGTGAAAATGTATTCACTTTCAAAGTAACCCCTCCCCTGGCCTTGAAAAAAGGAGGGGGGGGGGGTGGGTGGGGGCGCCCTAGGTTGACAGTCTAAAGAGCGATGAGCTAAAATAACCGCATAGATAAAAAAAAAAAAATCGTTCGTCACTCCTAGAAAGAAATCGAAAGGTAGGAAGACACACGAGACAACATGAAAATCGAAAATCTATAATAAATATGCCGGGATTCACACCTGTCACCTTCAAATGACGACAGCGCCTAGTTGCAGAAACAAGACACTAAGATGGATGACCAGCTGGCAAAGCTAAAATAATAACAGTATATGGCTTTGCTAACATGACAGCAGGTGCTGCTAACGTGTCAGCATGAGGTAGATAATCAAAAATAAACACAAATGGATGGACAACAACAGACAGACAGATAAGACAGACATACAGGACAGACGGATAGTTAGCTGAATAAGACAAACAGCCTGAGCGGTGACAGAGAGACAGAAAAATATAATAAAAGAAAGAATGTTGCCTTGCAGCAATCAGTGTAACACCTGACACTTCACAGTCCCTAGAAAATTATTATTCTAATTTGAACACACAAAAATTAGGTTTGGTAGAAGTTACGCAACATAACTTATGAATAGGCAAAAACTGTATGAGAGCGGGGTTTCTTGAAACCGGGGTTCTTAGCACCCCCAGCAGCAGGGAAAATCTGACTGAAGTAAAAAAAAAAAAAGAGAGAGAGAAAGAGAGAGAGAGCGAGAGAGACAAAGAGAGAGAGAGAGAGAGAGAGAGAGAGAGAGAGAGAGAGAGAGAGAGAGAGAGAGAGAGAGAGAGAGAGAGAGAGAGAGAGAGAGAGAGAGAGAGAGAGAGAGAGAGAGAGAGGGGGGGGGGTGTCTAGGTTGCACTGGGCAAAATAGTAAAAAATGTGAGTGCTTCTATGTAATTGGACCGAATTAAATCCCATATCTTCTTATCCCCCCCCCCTCTCTCACTCTCTTCTCTCCCTCCCTCTCTCTCGAAGCAGCCATCTGCCGACAGCACAACATAAAGCTCGACCCAGCGCCTATTCGTAGGCATCTTATGTCTGAAAAAAAAAAAAAAAAAAAAACACTCGTGAACTAAGCGATACCTGTGAGAAACGAACCTACGACCTTCAGTGCGCAAGGTAAATTGCTCGACTACTTCGCCATGGAGACTTCCAAGAGCCAAATTAAATCTGACGACTGTCATGTGCCAGGCAGATAAGTGCCGGCTGTTATGGTTCGCCATCTTACACATCCCTGGGATCAAGTCTGTGTCCTTGACCCGCATATGTTTTAGCAAAATAGTTTTAGTACCAAAAAAAAAAAAAAAATAATAATTTCCACCCATCCACCTCTCTCTCTCTCTCTTTCACTCTATCTATCTATCTATCTATCTATCTATCTATCTATCTATCTATCTATCTATCTATCTATCTATCTATCTATCTATCTATCTATCTATCTATCTATCTATCTATCTGTCTGTCTGTCTGTCTGTCTGTCTGTCTGTCTGTCTGTCTGTCTGTCTGTCTGTCTGTCTGTCTGTCTGTCTGTCTGTCTGTCTGTCTGTCTGTCTGTCTGTCTGTCTCCCTGCCTCCCTGCCTGCCTGCCTATCTATCTATCTATCTATCTATCTATCTATCTATCTATCTATCTATCTATCTATCTATCTATCTATCTATCTATCTATCTATCTATCTATCTATCTATCTATCTATCTATCTATCTATCTATCTATCTCTCTCTCTCTCTCTCTCTCCTCTCTCTCTCTCTCTCTCTCTCTCTCTCTCTCTCTCTCTCTCTCTCTCTCTCTCTCTCTCTGCCTGCTGCCTGCCTGCCTGCCTGCCTGCCTGCCTGCCTGCCTGCCTGCCTGCCTGCCTGCCTGCCTGCCTGCCTGCCTGCCTGCCTGCCTGCCTGCCTGCCTGCCTGCCTGCCTGCCTGCCTGCCTGCCTGCCTGCCTGCCTGCCTGCCTGCCTGCCTGCCTGCCTGCCTGCCTGCCTGCCTGCCTGCCTGCCTATCTATCTATCTATCTATCTATCTATCTATCTATCTATCTATCTATCTATCTATCTATCTATCTATCTATCTATCTATCTATCTATCTATCTATCTATCTATCTATCTATCTATCTATCTATCTATCTATCTATCTATCTATCTATCTATCTATCTATCTATCTATCTATCTATCTATCTATCTATCTATCTATCTATCTATCTATCTATCTATCTATCTATCTATCTATCTATCTATCTATATCTATCTATCTATCTATCTATCTATCTATCTATCTATCTATCTATCTATCTATCTATCTATCTATCTATCTATCTATCTATCTATCTATCTATCTATCTATCTATCTATCTATCTATCTATCTATCTATCTATCTATCTATCTATCTATCTATCTAATCTATCTATCTATCGGTCCGTCGGTCTCCATGTATGTATGTATGTATGTATGTATGTATGTATGTATGTATGTATGTATGTATGTATGTATGTATGTATGTATGTATGTATGTATGTATGTATGTATGTATGTATGTATGTATGTATGTATGTATGTATGTATGTATGTATGTATGTATGTATGTATGTATGTATGTATGTATGTATGTATGTATGTATGTATGTATGTATGTATGTATGTATGTAT